TATATACATATATATATAATAAAACCTTTAGAATCACATACTCTATTAAAGAGGTATATATATATATATATACCTCTTTATTTGATTAAAAAGTTAATAGTACTTGATCTGTTTCTTGACATTGTATTTGTTTGCTGTTTCAGAATCTAGTTAATGTCTGGCTAAATGAATGAAGTAACCAGGATGTTTGGCAAAAAACTGCTCATGGCTTTGTTAGAGCACTGCTATAATTTAGTGATCAAAAGCTAGTTTTATATTTTTCATATAAAAAGGCAACTTTATTTTTTAAATTTCAGTAAAAGGAGCACCTCGAAATCTACAAGTGACAGATGAGACTACAGATAGCTTTAAAATTACCTGGACTCAAGCTCCAGGGAGAGTGTTAAGGTACCGAATTATATATAGACCAACTGCTGGCGGAGGAAGCAAAGAAGTTACCACTCCAGCCAATCAAAGGAGAAAAACCTTGGAGAACCTGACTCCAGACACAAAATATGAAGTCTCTGTAATTCCTGAATATGTCTCCGGACCCGGCTCTCCATTGACTGGAAATGCAGCCACGGAAGAAGGTAAAGGAAATATGCCGACCACGTGGTAACAACTCAACTCTTAGTCTGCAGGAAAGACCTTGGACAACTGTCCAGCTACTACAAGCCCTGAGACAGTTGGTCTCAATTATCTGAGTGTTTTGGACTATAGACCTTTTAGACTTGAGTTACTCACATTTTTTACTTTCTCATGATAGCATTTATTTGGTTCAATAGAACTTGAATGCTGTGATATGGTCTAAATATTATTTTAAAAATATTATTAAATATTTTAATAGAAACTTAAGGATTACTAGCAATTAAAAAATCAAACTGCTATGCACTGTTGAAACAGATTATATATTATTTCTTCAGAAAGATTTTAGAATATTGACCTATTTTTACTTAAATGGTGTGATTTGGCTCCCAGGATAGATTGTGGCCAATGATTAATATTTAATGTTTTTCATTGAGAAAAAAATAAGGCATTCATAATTTTCATTTTATTCCCTATTTTTAAAGTTTTAAAAACATAACAATAATAACAACACCATATTAGCAATGATGAAAAGTTATTGAGCACCTGTGTGTGTCAGGTTCTGTGTAAAGGGCTTTTTACGTATTATTTCATTGAACCCTGAATAGAGTCAATGAAGTTGCTATTTTATTATTCTAGTTTTATATGAAAATCAAGGCTAACGACTCATGTTGCTAATAAGCTGCATGTCTGAGTTTGTGCACTTTGTTGTCCCAGTGCAGACATTCACAAGGAATATCCGTTCTAGCTCGGCCTGGATCACTATTTCCCTCCCAGAGTAATATAGCTAATTAGCCTTTTCTGCACCAGCCTTGGCCTGCCCATCTGCTTTCTTCCTCCTCTTTTCTCCTGGGGATCTAGGGCTCTCTGTGTTGGGTATCCAAACAAGATCCAGTGACTTCATCTGGCTGTTTTCTGGAGTAAAAGTGGCTGGCTGTTGTGTGCCCAGTGGAATGTCACAGAGCTGGGTGCCTTGAGACCCTTCAGAGGCCATACGGCCACTCTAGCAGGACAGTCATGAATATCAAGCACAGCTGCACAGGGATGGACAGCCCCTGAGCTTTACCCCAGGCTGGGCCTCTCTTAGGCTTGTTTCCTCTCTTACATATTTTTTTAGGGACAGCAGTATTTTACATTTATCATTTTTATCACATTAGTGTATTTTCTGGCCATTACATTTAGACCAGCGGTTCTCAACCTGTGGGCTGCGACCCCTTTGTTGGTCGAATGACCCTTTCACAGGGGTCGCCTAAGACCATCCTGCATATCAGATATTTACATTATGATTCATAACAGTAGCAACATTATAGTTATGAAGTAGCAACGAAAATAATTTTATGGTTGGGGTCATAACATGAGGAACTGTATTTAAAGGGCCAGAAGGCTGAGAACCACTGATTTAGACATTCATAGCATCATGCCAATAAACCCTTTTTATTGCAAATTTCTTAGAGGAGTTAAAATCCACATTGTGATACTAATCAACATACTGTATGGTGTTTTGTATGGTGTTTTGTATGGAGAAAACACCAACATACTGTATGGTGTTTTCTCCACTTTTAGAGAAAACCTTGTAGTTTTTTACATGACAGATTCTAACATGAAAGATTTTTAACCAGTTCTGTAAGCACAGAAGAGGAATTGCATAACTTTTGCTTTGTTTTCTCTAGTATACTATGGGGCCCAATTTAGAAGTGCTTGAACTCTATTGGGTAGTCAAGTCAGGATATAAATTTAATTTCATATGCACATATGCATATACAGCAGCAAAGCGTTTTTCAAGTCATTTTATTACATAATGAGTTTTTATGTTTTTTCTTTTTTTAATGAAGTTAGAGGGAACCCAAGAGACTTAAGAGTTTCTGACCCTACCACATCATCTATGAAATTATCTTGGAGTGCGGCACCAGGAAAAGTGAAACAGTATCTGGTCACGTACACCCTAGTGGCAGGAGGTGAAACTCAAGAGGTCACTGTGAGGGGCGACACAATCAACGCTGTTCTGAGGGGATTAAACGAAGGGACAAAATACACCTTATCCGTGACGGCCTTGTATGCCTCTGGGGCCGGCGATGCCCTTTTTGGAGAAGGAACAACACTTGAAGGTAATTGTTGTCATAGTTTATAGAGACCCCCGCTTCCCCCCCGCCCCAGCTTGTTTGCCATTGCATTTAGGAAGCTGAGAACGTTTTCAGCGAGTGAAATTTAGAAATGTGCAATCCTTTCTCTTAAAAGACATTTGTATTGAAAACTAAGCAATCATAAAACTTCCTCTTATTCAGAGATGTAGAATATATGGAACTGATTAGAAAGAAGTGTATTGGGGAGCTGGGTGCATTAGGCCCTAAAGATGTGTTGCCATGCCATGGGTTGGTTAAATGGAGAATAGGTGTGTGACACTTGGAGTGGGAAGGCAGCTTGGGAAACACCGTGGGTGAAGAGGGTTGGGATAGAGCCCATGGTCACACAGCTGCTTCTATCTCCCAGGGGCAGATAGGAGCCCTTTTCTGACTCCCAGTCTCTTCATTCACCAGGTAGGAAAGCATTCATAATAGCTTGAGAAATCTGAAAATCCAAGTTTCTCTTCGTTTATTTTTCAACTGACCTCTAAATTTCAGTTGTATATTAGAAGTTCAAAGTTAATGCAGTACTTAGAAAGAACAACACTGGAGCTGTTTCTCTAGAGTAAATTGTCAGAAAGTTTCATATCTTTTAGGACCTTTGAAATATAATGGAAGCTTAGAATTAACTCACCACAACTACAAAAGCAAGTCATGAAAGAAAGAGAAAATATACATTTAACTTAACCACCTGAGAATGGAATATAATGTTAAAAAGAAATGTCAGTGGATGGTTACAGTGATGAGTCAGTACCGTAGTTGGGGGCCTAAATGGAAAACCAGGCATAGCTTTCTTTCTTGTTATTACGTTCTTTTAGATAACTTATTTAAAATGGTCATAGAAAGAAAACAAATCTGAAGTATCTTTTATGATGTGAAATCACAGTGATAGTTGGTTGCAAAATATCCATTAAATTTGATGGATCCAGAAGTTTGGAGGGTTATAGATGTTTTAATTAGCAGGGGCAGGCTTACAGTAGGTAGTTAAGCTTTAAGACTTAGTCAAGAATTAAAAACAAATAAAAACAAAAATATTCGAATAAAAATTGTCTCTGGAATAGTGATCAAGAATTCAATTCCAATAGTCTATAATATTTTTAGAAGAGAATTAAAGAAGATAAAAGACCTGTGTGTAATATACTGATTACCAGAAGAGTCCTGGTTTGGCTATTTAACCATGTAACCTTTAAATAATTCCTTAATCCCGCTGAGCCTCAGTTTGCCCATCTGTAAAGAAGGAATGATTATTGTTACCTCTTTCTACCAGACCTGTGGAGATCAAATGGGAGAATGTAAGTGAAACTCTTTGGGAACTGTAAATACTATATGTCTATAAGTGTATCAATAAGAAATAATTAGTAATTAGAACTGATTACTAATACTTTCATAAGTATTTCAGAGACATTGATTGGCTACACTAAAGTTTTAAAAACAATAAGAGCTAGAAATAGAAATTGCCTTCATTACAGTGACGTAATCCAAACAATAAAAGCATGTGATCTTTATAGCTGGAGCGATGTCCAGAATTCCTGAGAAGTATGTCCTTTCCCTTTGACCTCTTGAAGTTCTCTTTCTCATGTGCTTTCCAGAGGTTTTCAACACAGATTGTTCATAGGATTTTTTTTAAGGATAAACTTTCAAGCTTTTACTTTTTTACAAAACAGTTGTAGATTATTTGCATTTGGGAAAATTTCTCCCATATAAGGAATATCTTGGAAATAGTTGAATAGTTTTTTACTTTTGCTTGTAACTTTTAATCTTCTGATATTCTTTTGCATGTTCTTACTTCAAAAATATATTCATATTTAACACAAATCTCGATTCTAAAAAATTATGGTATTTTTGCAAAGAATAATATATAAGTAAACTTTTGAAAAAACAAAATACAAATTTTAATTTAACTAGCAAACACATTCTGTTGGGCTGTGATTTTTCTAGGTTAGGTGTATGGTTAAATTGCTTATAATTTTATAGCTTTGCACAAGTCGTGTAGAAAATCTACCAACTTGTATGCGTGTATGAGTGTATGCTCCAGGACATGGTTGATCAAAAATTATCTCCAAGGGAGATACATGGGTAGTAAAATAAACTTAAAAAATTATCCCTTTTCATTTCCTGAGAAGAAGGCGAGCTAGATGATTTGTAAGTTTTCTTTAAAAATGTAGTTAATTCATATCTAAATTGCCAAAATAATTTTTTTTTCTATTTATACCAAACTTTACCATGGTGAAGGATTATATTAAATGCTGCCAGTCTGATTTTATTAACATATTTATCCCATTGCATTATGTGTGGTAAACTTGACAAATATGTGAAAGCATAGTTGTGACTAAATTAAAATAATAGAAGATTTTTGCCCCTGGTTATTCCATTTCATTTTATTGTATTAACTCAGCCAAATCCACATACCATATACAGGAATAGGATATGATGGTAAATGCAGGGGATGGAAAGCCAGAAACACAGCCAGGCAAGTGCTTTTGAGGGCTGCTGTTTTTCTAATCTGTTTTTCTCTTGGGAGAGGAGGTGGTAAGAGCCTACCAGGCAGGAATGTTTCTTTCATCCAGAGGCGTGGATCAGCAGGCAAGAGCATTCTGTAGGTTGAAAATTTTATAGATTGCCTGAAGTGCATTCTATTTAATTCAGAAAGAATTAAAACAATATTTGGTGTGGTCTACAACCATCCCTAACTTGAAAATGTTCCCTAGTGCTTTCTTGACATGCAGCCAATGATCAGAAAATTCCCCTGTCCCTGGAAGAGAGATTTATTAGCATTGGCATTGGGGAAGTTCATGGCTGGCTCTAGCACTGCATGAAATAGAATCACAAAGGCAGAGTTTATTACTATTTCAGATCCCAACTTCAGAGGAATCTGAGCACAAACCAGTAGGTTTGATTTACATTATTACCCCCCCCCTCCGGTTGTTGTTAAAGTAGATTTAATGTGCTTACTAAAATACTGTTGTAGACGTAAATGCACTTGAAGTTTGGTTGAACTTTTGCTTGTCACTGTTAGTGGTTAGAGAGAGGAAAACCCGTTCTTATAAACCTCGAAATGAATAATTTAGAGTTTTACCACAAATGAATGAAAATTTCAGTTTGGGAATAATACGGTTCTTTTTATTTTTGAGTGTTGTTTTCTGGCAATGGAAAAGATGACTTTTCAGAATTTCCCTTGTTTCAGTTGCTATAGCAACCCGCCAGGGTCCTAGACATGAATGGCTTCCTGTACATCACACAAGCTAACGCAGCTGACATTTGGGTACAATGAGGTTTTTAACACATCAAGGAATTCCTCTGCATGGTGTTGAGTAGCATGGGCCCTCTCAAAGATGGACTGAACAAGGCCTCTATGTTTCCCTAAATTTACTGCTGTCTCATAACTTGAAAAAAATCATACATTCTGGGTATAACTACTCTGATGTTTCCAGGGAGCTAGCACAATCACCAAACAGTAATTCACATTTCCTTTTCTGCAAATTAATGGCTCATCAGAGAAGAATCTAAATCAAACTGGAGAGGTAACAATTGTGGAAGAAATGCCACAGGCTTTGAGGCTGAAGAATGATTTAATCGTTAAGAGGTTTTTAAGAACTATGTATTGCTTACAGTAATTAAGTTCACTTATCAATAGTGAACTTTGTCCTTTTTCAAAGGTGGCTCTAATTCATTGGTTGTAAATCAAGTGTGTTTCCACATGAACATTATCCAGAAGCAGGTCTTCCGTATTCTGCTGTGGAAAGTTGGATGACTTTTGAGTTGAGCTCTAATGGAAAAGACAAATTGATTTAGAAGAGGGTTTACATTACATTTTCAATTTAACTTCTATTTTTGAAAGTGGTATGTGAAACTCAATGAAAGCTGGCTGGAACAATCTATAAGATGAAATATAGTTTCATTTCATTGTGATTAATTTTTCAGTTATCATCATTGGCTAATTTGTATTATAATTATATTTGAATTGGATGATGATTTGCTTTTCAGAAAGCAAATGGAAAAGGGCTGAGGATATGTAGGAAAGTTACTTAAATGAGGCATTAGTTCTTTGGCCTTGTATATGGAAAAAAGTAGAAATCAACCCCTGTAAATGTTCAGATCATGAGAAATGCACCTGTCTAAATTACTTCCCACAGAAGCAGCACGGAGATGTATGCAAGCAGGCATGAGAAAAGTACCTTTTGAACTTATGTTAATACACTTTATACTCAAGGTGGAAATGCTGAGTATCAACATTTCAAAAATGATGAGTTTTGTAGTATATTTAAATTTATGATAGAAAAGCATTGTTATTCCTTATTCCTATACCTGGCACTGCTGGGGAGAATAGGGTAGAGGAGAAAACTATTGAGAAAAAATCTAAGAAATAAAGATGAAGGCATACCCTCAGTGTAGAAGATGACTTCTTTGATATGATTGCCAGAAATTCTATTACTAGAGGTAAAAGTAATATACAAAGCAAAGGCATGTGGTACAGAACTATGAGCTTAAATATTATTGAAAACAGTATCACTTCCGTCAAAATCCTGAACAGACAAAAGCACATTTGTAGGTCTTGGGCAGAGGGACAGGAGGAACTCAGAGAGGAAGGGAGCCTTTGCTAGAGCAGAATTGGAACCAGGTTTGGGGAAAAGCAGTGACAAAGTGGTAAACAGTCTAGCAGAGCTGGTTTCTGTTGACTGCCACCATTGCTCTGCCTTCGTCTTTGAGGGCAGTAATCTTCCCTGGAGAGAGGCTGCAGACTGGTTTCATGATGTTTGTCCTTTCTTATTCCTCTCCCTTCCCAGGCACTCTAAAAAGAAACTGTCTCCAAAACCCACTCTCATGAAACCAAGACAAATAATCTCTTTCTGCGGTCATTGATGTCTGACGTTTCTTAGACTGGGGACAAAACCTACAATTCAATATATTAAACCAAGCCAAAGGCTTTGCTGGGTAACACTCGGATTGAACCTCATTTACAGGAAAATGTGATTAACTCTTGAATGAGAAGCATACAGAGTGGGGCAAAAGTGGGTTTGCAGGTGTTTGTGTGGAAAAGAATCCAATAAATAATAATCCAAGAATAAACTTGTTTCACATACTCAACTGTAAACCTACTTTTGCCCCACCCTGTGTATTGAGAGCCATCTCCTTTTGGGACAGAATATGGGGAAGAGAGAGGGCGAGCATCCCATGTGTGTTTGGGATGGAGAGGATGCGATGAGAAGCTTCAATCAACTTAATTTTCGGAGGGTCAGCGTTTAGCCTGTTCCACTACCTACGGGTGATTTGTTGTGCATGGCCATAGACCTGCATCATATATGAACCACCAAGCAGTCTGGCACAGCATCACTGTGTCCAACAGTTATGAGCCATTTTTGCGTTCACCAGGCGTCTTTATTTGGAAGGAGCCTCATTTCAGAGTTGAAAGCAAGTATGAGAGTTCCTTCCCACACTGATCAAGCACACCTTCCAAATAAATGTCTCTCTAGACCTCAAAAGAGGGGTAGCAGAAAGAAAGGAGAAAAGAATAAAGAGTTGTAGAGGAGCTAAAATCACAGAGGAGACTTAGGAAACATCAGTGCTTAGGCATCTCTCTAGTTGATTTGGGCCTGGCCTAGTCTTTGGCTCTCTAGGCCATTCTATGTATCTGATTAGGTCCAGTCCAGTTATTTTGGTCCTGAGGACCCCAGGGTCCCAGGAGGTGACCCAGCCTGCTGGGTGGTCTGGTCAGCTGATTTCATATCTAGTTTTAAGACCAGCGTTGCCACTCGGCAGCCTGCCAATGAAATCATAGGGTACAAAGTGATTGCTTCATTTTTTTTTGAAATCTAATATTGGGCCAAGCCAAGATTTCATTTTTAAAAACTTCAAGGGTTATAGGCCAGATGAAGTTTACTGTCATGAGTATATTATATTCTCAAAATTCTTGAGTGTCATGCAGCAGCTGGAATACCCAACCCTTCTACTTCTTTTTTTAGAAAAAGTTTATCAATGTGTTTGACAATAGTATAAACTTAATATTTAGCAGTATTCTGATCAAGCTGTCTGAAATGTAAGAAGCCCATTGAAATGGCTTATCTTTTCAATCTTGGCTACTGGATTGAGTTGTATTTCTTCGTCATTAACATGGAATGTTGCAATGCCGGTGCCTGCAAATAATGCCTTTATGTGACACACACAGAAACTATAATTTTTTGAGGATTTTTTTCTGTAATTGAGAACTTAGCATTCACTTGAATTAGTGTTGATAGCCATTAATTAGAAATCAGGAATATCTTTTAGTTAATATTTTTTTTATATCTTAAAATGTGTTTTTACAGATTATTTTCAAGACATTGATAAACCTTGCAAATGTTTTTATTGCCATTTTACAGGTCTTGAGAGTGTTAAAATAGTTGATTAAAATCCATGGGAATGCATGTCTAGTGATCTAAGTACCTTTTGTTTGTAGCTTACAAATGTCTTTGTGAATGTATTTTTGCTTCAGACACAATTCTCTTCTTATTTTCTCACAGTGACATCATTAGCTTGTGTTTGTGAAATTGATATCTGTTGTCACGGAAAGAAACAATGTCACAAATTCAATGCTGTAGAAAGTAGGGAGAAAAATGGCCTTGGGAAGACTAGAAGCTAAAATTATCGTTTGTAAATTACTCCAAATTAGTTTGGAAGATAATTCCCACATTCTAGCTAACTTTATTTGTCTTATGTATTTTTTTGGAATGTCATTAATGCAGTTTTTAGCTCATTTAAATTCAAAGTCAGATTTAAGTACAATTATTTTATAACAGCTGTTCCTAACTGCAACTTAGGAAATTTAGGAGGACAGATGCATATGATCAATGGCTATATATCAAACAAACATGCGCTGCACATGGAAAACCATGGGGGGATATCAATGATTAAAAACCAAAAAACAACACCTACATCAACCAAACCAAACCAAGAAAAAGTTTGCTTATATTTCTGTTAGTAGAGAAAAATATAAAGATGTATGGCCATTTAAGTAGCAAACACAGGTAAAGAAGACAGTTAGATGAAATTAATCTCAAGTATTGAGGGAAAAAAGCCAACATGTTCTTGAAAATAAGTATTCTTGGTTACAGTGAAATATGTAACTAATTTCCCTCTAGAGTTGAAATGTCTCGTCAGCAGTTAAAGTTATTTATAATGGAGTTAGAATTTTCCATTTGCACTTGGGGTCTGGTAGGATGCCCAGCTTCTGTTTTATTTATTTTTCCCCTCTAAAGTCTACCATATATGATAGGTGTTTGTTCACCCAGATTTCTTTTTCGCTTATTGTTATCTATACTTTTGGTGCTGAAATTTAATTGTGTAAGCATGAATATTTTTGTTATATTCATTTTTATCCTTTGATTCAAATGAAATAATAGTCTTCAAAGTTCTTGTAACAGCATTATATGTTATTTGCTTGAATATACAATTACTGGTAAAATGTATGCTGTAGGAGCAGATAGTTTTATATTTATGTCATACTGTGGCATAAACCCTAGTAAAGGTAGCCAATATAAAGTGACCTGTATGTTTAACTTACATTTAAATTATGGAAAGTGAGGGTTTTATTGGAAGACATCTGTGCCTCCTATTAAGTTGAGGTTTCCATATTTTTCCATTTGGGTTGTATTTTTTTAAATGAAAGAACCAAAATTTCATAACAGACATTTTCGATCAGCTAGAACAAGTGGTGTGTTTTATTTTGATGACTAATCACACTTAGGTTTTCCAGAAGAATTGGTGGTTTTTAGTTTCTTTAGGGGTAAGCTGAATTGAAAGTTTGCACTTCTACACGAATAGAGTTTCCACCAAAAAAATGATTGTCAGAATTAAGATTTGTGAGTGATATGATATTGTTGAAATGATTGCAAATCATACATTGAAACTGAGCTTATTTAAATTAGAGAGGAAAAGATGATGGTAAAGAAATAAAGATCTTTGTGAGCCATGTGCTATGTCATAAGATGGACTGATATGTGGTAAAACTTTGGGATTAAGATGCATTCTTTTCTTTGGGAAACTTTCTGTTAAGCATATACCCCTTCGTATTTGGATGTCACCCTTGTTCTAAAGGACCTTACCATCTGACTGGACAGATCAGGGCCGGGGTGCTAGGCAGGAATCAGATAAAATTCTAATATTCTATCCATCGGTCTGTTGCACTCACAGTACAGGGCAGTCAGCTCAGAAAGGAGAAATGAGCAACTTTAGACGAATTGAGTTTGAGTCCAGCAAGTCAGGATGTCTACCAGGATGAAGTAATATTGACATATCTCATAGACGTTAAATGATGATTCCCCTTTAATTTCTATTCTAGAGCGTGGATCAGCTCGGGATTTAATTACTAAAGATATCACGGACACATCAATCGGGGCTTATTGGACCTCTGCTCCGGGAATGGTTCGAGGTTACAGGGTCTCGTGGAAATCGCTTTATGATGATGTTGAGGCTGGAGAGAAAAATCTTCCTGAAGATGCAATTCATACGGTGATAGAAAACCTGCAGCCGGAGACCAAATACAAACTTTCAGTATTTGCCGTTTACAGCAGTGGAGAAGGAGAACCTTTGAATGGAGAAGCCACAACTGAATGTAGGTAACATCACAAATGTGTTAGCTACCCTCTCAAGCGATAGGAAGTTGAACTGCTTGCTTTTTTCGTTTCTTTATATGATCATTGAGGACTGAAAAATTAGAACCTTGAAAGCATGTGGTTTGGCCCTAGCCGGTTTGGCTCAGTGGATAGCGTGTCGGCCTGTGAACCAAAAGGTCCTGGGTTCGATTCCGGTCAAGGGCATGCATGTACCTTGGTTGCCGGCTCCTCCCCTGGACAGGGCACATGCAGGAAGCAGCCAATCGATGTGTTTCTCTCACATCGATGTTTCTCTCTATCTTTCCCTCTCTCTTCCACCCTCTAGAAATCAATGGAAAAATATCCTCGGGTGAGGATTAAAACACACACACACACACACACACACACACACACACACACAATGTGGTTTAAATTCAGGTTCATTTAGTATCTAAAATTTATACCCCCCAACCCTAGCCTGTTTGGCTCTGTGGATAGAGCGTCAGCTTGCGGACTCATGGGTCCAGGTTCTATGAAACAGGAGTTTATGGTTTGATTTCCTGTTATGGCACATGCCTGGGTTTCGGGCTTGATCCCTGGGGAAGGGGTGTGCGGGAGGTAGCCGATCAACAGTTCTCTCTCATCATTGTTGTTTCTCTCTCTCCTCTTCCTTCCTCTCTGAAATCAATAAAAATATATTAAAAAAATAAAATTTATATCCCCTCCCCACACCTATGTGGAATGATCAACTAGTTAAGAAACTCAACTAATAAAAAGATCAGGAGCTATGGAAACAAAGAGAATTTGGGCATGTTTATAGCTATATGACCTTGGGCAGGTTACTTAATCTTCTTTGAGCCTCAATTTTCTAATCTGTAGAATGTAGTCTTTTAAGAATTGTCCTGAGGGTTAAATGAAACAACAATGTTCAAAGCACCAAGCAGGGTGCTTAGCCACTTAGAGATGACTGGTAAATAATAGTGCCTACTGAGACTAATTAATCTCAGATTCTTTAACTCTGGTTGGTGAGGTTAAATCAAAAGTCCACTCAGTTTTCTGGTGGCTCCCATTTGCCATAATCTCATTAATATTCTTTCTTGTGAATAATTCTGAATGATATACCATCATTTATTATTAGCTGGCTGGTAAAATATGTGTCCATATTTTTTAATTCTCTTTCCTAACAAGTTATTTGTTAATCATGGGCATGTCTCAAAATTTATAGGGGAAAATGTTATTTCTTTTGTTTTAGGAAAATTTTAGGGATAGAGGAAAGAATGGGGAATTCTTACATTTCCTTTTATTAGAAAGAAGTGGAGGGATTGGGTGATTTTTTGGGCAAAGAGCAATTTCAGTTGAGTCCCATATCTTGATCTTAAGTTATTCTTAAATTAAAATCTTTTGGTCTGAGAGAATTCGTCTTTTCTTTTTAATCACTGAAAAACTCAGTTGGCTATGTCTAAGCTTAAATTTGTGTCAAAATTAACAATAAAAAACAACAGCCCATCAAGCTCCTTTCCAATTTAAGTAGTTGGAAAGGCATATTTTTCAGATATGAAAAATATGATTGGTTTATATAGTAATGAATGAAATCTTGTTTTTGAATATGTTGGCTGGTGTTGTTTAAGAATCTGGCAGAAATTCATCTCTATTTCTGACAGAAATTCATTTGTTGTAAAGAGAAGCCATGTTGTAAACTTAGGCCAAATATGACACATAAAGCTAAATTTATTTGTGGGAGTAAAAATACAGTTCATGTGGCTGAGAAATTATTCAAGTATTTGTATTTAGAGGGAGGAAAGTGGTTTTTTTTAAAATACCTCTTCTCCCCAAAGACTGAGTTTTCAATTATTTGTTTATGATTGAAAATCTCCACAAGGAACATGTGTTAGCCAAAGGCAAATATGGTAAGAGAAATCCTAAATAATCTTTCATTTCTAAGAAGCTGGGCATCTAAGAAATTTTCAGTTTTTCTTGGCTAATTTTAGATTTAAAGGTGCAGGAAGATAAAGTCCTCTTTTGAACTAGCAGTAGACTAAACAGGAATGAGACATACACTTTATAGAGTATATGCAAACTGCTTAAACATCTAAGCAAATATGAGAGAACCCGGGCACTGTTGTTTGTTCTACTACCATTTTGTTGTTTTACTTTGCCCACTTTGTGGAAAGCAAAGAAGTTTAAAAATTTCTTTGAGCAATCAGAGTCAGATGTGGTATTTAGGTGGTGGGTGAATCCTAAAATGTGGCTAACTGGGTAGAGTCACTAGGTCATACTCACAGAGTTCCTTATAAACTTCCAAGGGGACATTTTGGAAATATTTTCAGGATTGATTTCAACTCAGAGACATGGTATTCAGGCTGTTGATAGAATGAAAACTGTGCATTGTGGCTAAAAAGCCAGCAGATGAGAAACTTTCTACTGGTCCTCCAATGCTGGGTTAGCAGAAAGCAGTAGGTGTTGGAAAGCTTCTGAGAGTTACTGATACAGGAATAGAACTAACAACGTGAGTATTACAGCA